CGCGAATTTCAGAGAGGGAGATATTGGTCCCAGGGATGGTTCCAGGGACGAAGGTGGGTTCACGCGGCTCGGGAGCAGGTCCGTAAACAGTACGGCGCGGGGTTGACGGTTCGTTGCCCCAATCGATGGTGTCCCAAGAATCGCGATGCGGCACTTTTTCAGGAGGAGGTAGTGCAGGTGGAGCATGGCGCGGGGGGCGACGAACAACTGCAGGTGTTGCCTCCGCTTCCTCTGCTTCTACTTCTCCCCCCTTTTGTTCTTCACAGGAAGTACCCCAGCCGCTGCCTTTGTCGCCAGTTGCAGCACCCCAGCCGCCACTTGCGTTGGCCCAGGTTCCGCTGTTGTAGCCCCATCCGCCGGTGTCACTCGTTCCCCATCCGCCAGCACTTCCCCAACCCCCTTCATTGGAGGCGCTCTCCTCCTCTTCGGCTCCCCATGTGCCGCAGGTGAATGGCCCGCGTGCCTCGGCGAGACTCTGTCGGCGAAGCTCCTCAGCTTCGCGGCGCGCCAGTTCTTCTTCCTGCTCCACAGTGAGCTTCTTCGTCGAGTCGCGCAGGTGAGAGTAAATTTCCGAGAAGTTCCCCTATGTGTAGGGTCGTGGCACATTGTGCGCATTGAAGGTGCCGATTCCAGTGCCGCGCAGCATGCCTTGGAGATGTTGCGAGGGGGGTCCGATGAGAGGGTGTTCTGGCGTGCCGAACATGCCGCGCGTGGCAATTTCGAGCTCCTGCTGTGACATCCCTTCTTCTTGGGGTGCATGTCTCTCAACTTCTGCGATGGCGGCAAGCCCACGGCCGGCAATCGCGCTCGTTGACGCAGTAGGTGTGTGACAATCCTTGCAGACGCCTTCTGGGTCAGAGTCATGCAGCGCCACTTCACATGGGTGAGGGTGATGCGGCACCCACGGTCTTCCGTCAGGGTGCTTCCAATCCCTGCGGTAGATGTGTTCAAAGCGCAGTGAAACAAGATTGATTAACTCGTGCGAATCGCCGCTGCAGTCGGGAATGTCGAAGTCCAAGATATATACTCTATTTTCGGAGTGCGCTCTTCCGATCTGCCTGCGGGGGAAGGTTCTTGATTCGTAGTGCAGCAGGATGTCGCGGTCGGTGCTAAGATCAACGCCGCAGTCCATGAGCTGTGCGGCGGAAAGCAGGTTGAAGCGCAGGTTCTGGACGATGAGCACATCGTTAAGCATGATGTGCGTGCGGCTTCCCCCTGCCTTGAGCACGACGATGCCTTCCGCACTCGCGCGCAGGCGCGTATTGTTGACCACTGTGACGTAGGTGACCGTGGGCGTGGCGACGGCGTTGGATATGTAACGCTCCGAGCCCACCATGTGCTGGCCGCAGTAGCTGTCCAGGTACTAGGTGTTGTAGCGCTTACTGTCGTCACGTGCGAGCAGCGCCAATCGTGGCGTGACAATGTGAGGTGTGTCAAATTTAAGAAACTGCTTGCGCGAGAGCCAATCGAGTGGTGCCGCCCGCATATCAGGTATGTGCGGGGGACTTTCAAGCAGCGGGACTGGAAGATTCCAGTCCTGGTCGTCGTCGTCGGTGAAATCGTGGCGCGGACTGAACGGATTGTTGTTGGAGAACGCGCCAACGGGGAGCGGTGCTGGCTCAGGTGATGGTGAGCGCACGCGGCGACGACGCGACTCGCCCGTCATGGCCATGTTGCTCATGACGTTGCGTACTGGGGCAGACAATGACGGCTGCTGCTGCTGATGCTGAACCGCTGGGTTCAGGTTGCGCGTGGGGGGTTGATACCCCTGGGCTGGACGCACGTCGCCTCGTGCGTCTTGTCGGCCGGACCAGTTGCTCGGATTGGTCTGGCGAGGGCGAGATCGGGACTTGCATCGATCCGCCAAATGCCCGAAGTTTCTGCAAATCTGCAGTAGAGGCGCCGCGACCGTCGCTCTTCGGTGTTGTCAACGTAGAAGGCGAGTCGTTCACGTTCTTGACGTGGCGCTGGTCGCTGCTGATCCATATCCCATTGTTCGACGAGAAGGGTGGCGCAAAGGGCGGCCTTCGAGATGGCCCCCTACTGTCGGAGAAGCGCCTTGCAGGGCCGCCACTCTGGGCCGAGCCCTTAAAGCATGATGTTGACAAAAAAATCCTCTGATTTCGAGCTTCCCAACTTCACGATTTGATCGCGAAGGCTCCCACAGCGATTAATGTAGCTGTTGGCCTTCTCCCCTGGGGCCATTTTAGTCTCCGGTAACTGCTGGAGCAGCCGGCTCGAAGAAACGGAGTCCTTCGGCTGATACACGCCCTTCAGGTCGCGCTAAGCGTCGAGGGCTGGAGCGGGCGTGGTTTTGTACGAACGAATGCTCAACTGCTCCGCCGGCGACATGTTGCGGAGAAGAACACCGTATGCCATCAGGGATTCGTTGTAGTACCTTGTCTTGGCGTCGTCGGTGACTTCAGCGGGCTCCGGGTAACTCCTGTCGAAGTTGTGAAAAATATGAGCGTTCTGCAGCAGGAGCTCCAGCTCGAAGCTCCAGGTATAGAAGTCTCTGCCGTCAAAACACACACTTGTCTTTATTTTTGATATGCTGAGAAACCTTGATTGCGCAGAGAGAATTGCCTCTTCACTGGGACGGGGAGTCTTGGGGGTTGAACCATTTGTGTCGAGGGAGAAAGTGTGCGGGGCGGCGTTCTGGCCATTTGGGGCCGGTTGAGGCGAGGGGATTCCCGCGTCGCCATTCCGCAATGTTTGGAGCCCTTGCTCCAAGCTGGTGAGTCGCTGAAGTAGTTGTGCGAGGACTTCGGTCCCGATCGTCGTCGTTTCCTCGCTTGTCGTGGACAGTTTCGGTTGCGCTTCAGCCGTCAGATTAGTCTGACCACCTGATCCTCCGGCCATTCTCACATGCGATCGTGTGCAAGACACCACTTTCCGAATGTCGAGGATTTCGGAGGTGGCAGTGCGAAGGATTCCCGAGTCGCTCTCATACCATGCTGCGATCAAAAGGTGATCTCTCCTAAAAAAGGTTCGTACACAGTTAAATATTGGTGGTGGGCCCTTAACCTCGATAGCAGAGTGAATGTAAAATGCTTGAGATGATTAAAACATGCAAATACAAAGATATAAATATGAGTACAGGGAAATTCGAATCTACCTAGCTAGCCATATACTCTAAGGGGTACATTCCCTTATTCAAATTCATCCCCAACCGTGCGGCGCGTACAGTTACGAAACTGTTCCCGCCAAATTCCTCTTGCCTGCAGCTGCCTGATGCCGTCTGCTCCGACGGTCCAGATCCACCCTAACCGTATGTCGCTTCGAGTCAACTATGACTCCTCGCATTCATTCACAATACTGCGTGCTTCTTCTAGCTGCGATTAGGAGTGCACAATAATGTTTCACTCATTACTATTCGTAACATCATATACTATAGTTCAGCCGAATACTTTCATTTATTAATGACAGGCATTGTGAGGAGCAGTATCTATGAATTATTGTACATTTCATACTATTGTGAGGTGCAATATTGTTCTTTGAGGGTATTGTGGGAATTCTGTTTGGAGGTCAGTTCAGTTCCAAATGATACCCAATCCCCGACCAAAAATACAGTCGGTGCTCATTTCAAGAACACCAGGTAGGCGGGCAGCATGTGATTGAAACGAGTTTTAGGTGGACATTTCGCCACATTCGCCCTTGTCGCCACGGGCAAAAATGTGATTGTAAAATGAAATTGGAATGTGAAACGAGTCTAGGGGTTTAAGTTCATGACCAAGTAAACAATTCTGATGACAGGCAGCCGTTGTTGTTTATGAACTGTAGATGTTTTTCTTCCTCGACTTGGTGACTGTACCCCGAAATCAGCACAATCACCACTCACAGGCAAAACGTTCGCGAGTGACTGATTTTCTAATTGCGCTGAGCAAATTTTTGTGATAGGCTGAGCATCGACTGTACTAAAATTGTCTATCTTCCTCGCAAACTCCACCCGCGCTCCCCTAAGGGCGCGTCCCCTCCCTCGATCGATCTTGCGCAGAATCGATCCTGCGCACTGTTGAAAAGGGTTTAAACGGTTGCAAACAGGAAAAAGCAGGATTTTAGTGCGGTTGACGATCGATCGTCGCCGATTTGCACGATCGATCGAGGGAGGGGACGCGCCCTAATCCCCTCAGGTCCCCCACTGAATCAGCCCAACTCCCCCCAGGTGGTCCCTTCGCAACCCAACACCCAATCCCTCTCGCAGCGGAGCCCAAAATCCCCCTCGTTCAGGTTGTGTCTCCCAGCAAAAATAATGATCAGGTTGAAAGATGGGGAAACAGATAGCAGAACACAACCGCATCTGCGGTGCGGGAAGTGAACTATACCTGACAATGTTCCTGACTGGTTTTCAGGTCCCCTTCAGATAGCCAGTTACCGAAGGAGACGCCCAAAACCCTGCAGCATTCCCCAGCCCAGGTCCCAGGACAATGCCTGCGACTCGTTCGAGTTCTCCCACCACGCAATCACCCCCACTTATCGCGTCTCCCCCAATCCACCTGCCCTACCACCAAGATTCAGCCTTCCAGGTACAAAGGCAACGAGGCTACTCTTTCTTCTCAGTATAACCAAGCTCGGTCCTGGGTATCGATACAGCTGATGCTCACCCCATGCACGCGAATTTGCCTTGCGCCGGATGGATACGCTGCACCCGAGGTTGTTTCCCCAGCTTCATGCACCTACATTACAAGCGCGTCGCGTGGTTATCAACCAGTAGTAACGAACAGACCGACGTCAAACTAGGTACAGACCGAAGTCAAGCAGAGGAGACTGAAGTCAAACTAGGTTACAGATCTTGTTTATAAGCACATGCGAATCATTTTTAGCTAGCTGCGAATTGCCGAAACTTATGCGAAATGCTCGTGACAGCTTATACGCCCCCTTCGTAAGGCAACCGGGAGGGTCTCAAACAGGCATCAGGTGCCAACAACAGTCGGAACTCATCCGTCATTCAGTTTCTCGTTGAGATCTTCCAGTCCAGAGTCCCGAGCCGGTCCCACACGATGGCGCGTCTGGCTTTCCTCGTCGCATCCCTGGCGGTGATGCTTGTGGTGGCTTCTGCTGATAAGCCAACCCTTCAGACTGGACCCGGCAACCCGGCAGTCAACCTCGACCAAGCCAAGGGCGCTAATGGCGTCGTGACTGATGTCCCTGCTAGCATCGAGAAGGCGGCAGCAGCGGGCAAGCTGGACCAACTCCAGGGCCAGACGGTCGTGAGCACGGCCACCGACAGTATCCTGATGGTGGACGTGAAGCAGGCCGGATGGAACAAGATGAAGTGCAAGTGGAGCGCGGGCTTTGCCGATGCTGGTAAAGGCGCGTGCACCGTTCAGAACTGCAGCTTGGGTGGCATCCCCGCCAAGTGGAAGACGTCGAACCTGCTCAAGAACAAGCTCGGTGTGGAGGTGTACGTGAAGGGCAACCCCTGCACTGTGAAGAAGGCGTCCCCGCAGACGTGCTGCAACACGTGCGCGGGTTTCTCGGGCTGCACTTACTGGCAGTACATTCCTGACATCACGATCGACGGCAAGAAGTCGGACGGCGCGTGCTACCTGGTGCACGACAACATCGACTTCACCTGCGGTGAGCTCACCGCGCAGTACGCGACGGACTCGAAGCCCGTGAACCTGCAGGTGCGCACGGGCGGCGAGTGCAACCCCGCGGCGAAGATCCAGAACGACCCGCATCTGGTGGGCGCGTACGGCACGCACTTCGACTTCAACGGCCGCCCTGACAAGGCTTTCTGTCTGCTGGCTGACAAGGACCTGCACATCAACATGCTGCTGCGCGGGTACTACTCTGACGACACGGAGAACGCGGCACTTGTTGTTGACGGCAAGGCCGTGCACACGTGGATCAAGGAGCTCGGCATCATCTGGTTCGCTAACGGCGCCGACCACAAGGTGCGGCTGGCGGCACGCGGCGGCAAGCAGCAGGAGCGCGGCGAGGGCTTCATGAAGACGATCGAGATCGACGGCGAGGAGATGCCGAGGATGAACGTGGGCGACGAGGTGACGACCGAGGGCGGTCTGACTCTGCGATTCGCCGCTCTGGAGAAGGAGGGCCCGTATGACGTGGACTACTACACCCTTGTCATCGACGGCCTCGTGGGTCTCGACCTGCGCCTGCGCGTCGCCAACCCCAAGCTGCAGACCCCCAACGACGCCGAGGCGCACATCAACGAGGGCATTGTCGAGCTGGAGCACACCGACGACGTGCACGGCGTGCTCGGCCAGACGTACCGCCCCGACCACGCGGAGCGCGCCGCGAACTTCCAGAAGATGATCACGACCCTGCACCGCCCGGTCTCCGCGGACAGCGAGGAGGGCACTGGGTTCCTCGATGGCACTCCCCGCATGTACGAGTCGAGCTCTGTCCTTTCTGTGGACTGCGCATTCACCGAGTACCACCGCGCGAAGCAGCTGAGCCCCGTGCAGCACATCGACATGGAGCCCCTTCCCTAGACGCGACGGCGTGAACTGGTGGGCTGAATTTGGTGGTCTTTATTTCTGTGTGCTGATTTGGTGGGCTGCATTGTGCACAAAAAGCCTGTGCATTTGTATTGTAGGTAGGCTTGTTTAGCTTGTAGTTTAGGTTAACCCTAATATTCATGTATGTTTAAAATTCGTTCCTCTGTGCCTTGTGGTGAGCTTTGTAATGAATACGCAGTTCATTACTGTAGAGGCTGCTCCTGGCGAGGATAAACCAGTTCTGAGTTGCTCCTAATTATTCAAACACTTGGGCCTGGTTCGGCAGGCATTAAAAAAATGGCATCGACGGATGGGCTACAGTGAAACGACCAACCTGGAACCTTCCATGATAAGAGCGTGATTGGTTATCAAGACTCGATATAAGCGAATCTACGCCGAACCAGACAATAATGAATGTCTCCCAAACATCCCTTTGAACGCTGGCATTTTCCACCAGAGGAATATTCCTCGCAGGGTCGTCCCTAGGGTCTGAGGGGTGTCTGATGCATCAGATGGGTCCCCCGGGCAAAAAAAAGTTTTGTCTGATGCTGACTGGCCCATCAGATTACCGGATATACCCCCAGGCCTCAGATACACCCATGCGGTCATAATCGTACATGTGCGCTTATACGCAGAGGCCGATTATAACCGGCTTCGGCCGATGACAGGGCAACCAGTTCCTGCTTCTGCGAGTTCCAGGAGATGGGGCCAGTTGGCTCCAGGCGAAAAACGAAGCCGGTTCGGGACCGTCGATTCGCTGGGTCAGCGGCATGATCAGCGTCCACGTAGCCGTTGAGGTTGAAGGATGTTGTTGACAGCGTGGAGTAGGAGAGGCCGATGTCAGGCGTGGAGATGAAGTACTGCAGGGCGCGCTCCAGGTCCAGCTGGTTCTCGGCTACTGGTTTGCGGGAGTACTGTGCCAGTTGGCTGGCGATGTACGAGAGGTCGGGTCGGCATGTGACAGATGCGAACAGCAGGCAACCCAGTTGCTGCTGGTACAGTTGGAGCCCTGCGGGGGACAGAGGCTTGTTGTCCGGTTTGTAGTTGGTGCTGGGGCTGCGGTAGGGAGTTGAGAGTGGTGCGCGTGAGATGTTGAACCGTTCGCCCAGCTGCTCTGCGTATTTCGAAGCTGACAGATGAATTGCTTCTGGCGCGTAGGTGATGTTCAGGCCCAAAAACTGAGTGACGTTATGGTTGATGGTGATGTTCACGCGCTTCGCCAGGTTCTCTTCAAATTGGTTAAGGAGTGTGTTGCAGGTACCGGTGTAGAGTAGGTCGTTGAAATAGACGGTGAGGAGGATGTAGTCGCCGTTGAAGTGAAGGCGGTACATTCCCGGGTCGTGCGGCAGCTGTCTGAAGCCGATGTCAAGTAGGATTTTGTGCAGGTGCTGTTGCTAGAGACGAGGCGCCTGCTTGATCCCATAGAGGGATTTCTTCAGCTGGCAGACCCTGGGGTCTCCTTCTCCGTAGGTGTGTGGCTGCTCCACAAAGATGGTTGCGTCCACCAACGCATATAGGAATGCGTTCTTTACGTCGATCTGTCGCAGTGGCAGATGCTTAGCGGCCGCTATGGCGAGTAGGATCCTGACGGAGGTGTGACGGCTGATGGGAGCAAAAGTTTGGTCGAAATCGATGCCGTGGCACTGGTCGTAGCCACGTATGACCCATCGTGCCTTGAAGCACTCGATGGTTCTGTCAGCGTTAGTCTTGAGTAAAAAAACCCATTTTCCGCTCAGCACTTTCCTCCCCTTCACTGCTGCACGATCGACAAGGACCCATGTGTCACGAGACTCCAGCGCTTTTAGTTCGGCGTCCATAGCTGCTCGCCATTCTTTAGCGTGAGGGCCGGTGAGGGCCTGGCGCGGGTTCTTTGGTTCGACGGCGCGAGCCATGGTAGAGACGGAGGTGTGGAGCCCGAGAAGTTGTAGACCGGACACGTTTGTGGTTTCTGCGGTGTCGGTGATGGGGACTTCCACCACGTCATCATCGTCGCTCTCGTGAGCAGGTGAGGAAGTTCCTGGGGCGGTGTCGCAGCGGGATGGTCCAGGGGCAGGTGCGTCGTCGCTGTCGTCGTCGTCATCGTCCGTGCGGGGGCGAGGCGGGATGCCGGGATGATCGTCGGTGTCGTCGCGATCGAAGGTTGCTGCTGCTGCTTCATCCTCACGAGATGCAAAGCTGCGGCCGCTGTTGGCATAGCCGCGAGCTTGGTTGCACTGTTCGTCCTCGATCCACTGCTTCAAGGTGAGTCGTTCGTAGAAGAGAACGTCTCGTGCGGGGACGATTTCTTTGCTGTCGATGTTAAGGATGAGCCACCCCTTGTGCTCGTTGCTGAGCCCCAGATGAACTCCCCATCGTGCACGTTCAGTAAACTTGCCGATGTGTGCCGAAGTTGGCCGGTACTGCACCATGCACCCCCAAACCCTCAGCATGGAGGGATCTCCCCTTGAGCCGGTCCATTTCATGTGTGGGGAAAGGTTGTCCCTGTTGGCTGTGGTGGAGAGGAGGTTGTAAAGGCGCACCGCGTGGTTCATGGCGTAAGGCCAAAGCTTCTTGGGCAGGCCGGACTGGTTCATGAGGGCGCGTACTTTCGTCATGAGGGTGCGATTCACCCTCTCTGCGACTCCTTGCTGCTGATGAGCGTAGGGGAGAGTGGTCTCATGCTTGATCCTGTTAGAATCTAGCAGCAGGAATGAATGAACTAGCAGGAAGATGGGTACAAGTAGGAAACCCTAATTAGGTTGTACCCCATATGGGCTACCCCACTACAGCCTACACAATAAGCAGCATATATGTTTGACACACCCCCATAGGCAAAGTGGGGGAGAACAAGGGTCACACGACCAGTCAAGAGAAGCAAAGCAAGCTCAGGGTGGATCACAACGTCACCACACTCTCTGAGCACAAGCAAAGGGAGACATTTCCAGTTCACATGCAGAGGTATATATATATGCAACAACAATAGAGCAGTGATCACTACCTAGCAAGGGCAAGCATGCAGAATATATATATATATATATATAGATCACAGTACAACCAAAGACTACAGCAAGTGTGGAAACGTAGGCACAAGGCCTAACAGGGTACAAAAGCGCTAATGATCACCACACGGAAGTGCCTTGGTGAATATATCAGCAGTGTTGGCCCGAGTGGCCACGTGACGAAGACGAAGCTGACCTCGCTGCTGCAACTCTCGAGCCAGGAAGTAGCGCAGAGCGATGTGCTTCGTTCTATGCTCCAGTCTGTGCTCCTCACACAAGGCAATGGCCGCCTTGTTGTCAACGTACAGAACTGGAGGAGAACGAGGCCGCTCACCCAAGTCAGTCAGCAGGTAGGTGAGCCAGCGTAGCTCCTGAGCAGCCATGGCGGTGGCGTAGATCTCAGCCTCACAACTGGAGCTGAGAACAGAAGACGAGCGTGTAGACCGCCAAGAAACAGAGCCAGAGCCAAGGCTGAAGGTGTAACCCTGTGACGACCGCTGTGTAGTCTGGTCGTCAACCCAAGACGCGTCTGAGTGCCCAGTGAGCACCACCTCACTCCGTCCTCCAAGCACTAGCCCCATGCCTGATGTGCTGCACAAGTAACGCAGTACCCTCTTAGCAGCAGCCATGTGCTCAGGTCGGTGCCGACCAGGAGCCACGTAGCGAGCCAGGAGGCCAAGAGGGTACGCGAGGTCAGGACGAGTGCAAGTCATCAGGTACATGAGGCAGCCAACTAACTCTGGGTAAGGACCACTCGGCTCTACGGACTCGTCCGAAGGTGGAGCTGAGAGCGAGTGACCTGTAGCCAGAGGAGTGTGTTGTGGGGAGGACCAGGAGAAGTCGAAGCGCTGAAGGACCTGCTGCACCATGTGTGACTGAGTCAGGGTGATGGTGCGGCGTGCTCTGTCCCGGGTGATCTGCAAGCCAAGGTAGCTGCGCAGCTCACCCATGTCTGTGCACGTGTGTCTCTTCTGCAGCTCGGACTTCACCTGAGCGAGAGCCTCAGTGTCAGCAGTGGCAAAGACCAGGTCGTCGACGTACACGAGGATGTAGAACGGCGGCAGGGAAGTGTCGGTGCGCAGAAACAGCGACGGGTCAGCAGTGGAAGGAGCGAACCCAAGAGCCGCAAGTGCAGTCCTCAGTGTGTCGTGCCACTCACGAGGTGCCTGGCGGAGACCATAGACTGGCCGCCGGAGGCTCCACTGGGTACCAGGAGGGAAAGACCCAGTGAAGCCAGGTGGGCGGCGCAGCCAGATCTCCTCGTGCAGGCTGCCCTGTAAGAAGGCTGTGCTGAAGTCAAGAGAGTGAAGCTCGTAGTCACGCTGAGCGGCAACGTGCAGCAGTACCCGAAGAGTGGTCATCTTCGGGGTGGGGGAGAAGGTCTGGAAGAAGTCAACTCCTTCTCGCTGACTGAAGCCTCTAGCAACGTAACGAGCCTTGAAGACAGGCGGAGAACCCGGCGGCCGCTTCACCCTGAAAATCCACATGCCATCGACGATGTTCGCCCCAGGAGGGGGAACCTCATCGACGTAAGTGCCTGTGGACTTCCAGGATGCCATCTCTGCGTCCATGGCTGTCTGCCACTGAGAGGAGTACTCACCCGCGATCGCCTCAGCGTAAGAGCGCGGGGTCGGGATGTCTGGTGCATCCGGGTCTCCCTCAGGGGCAAGCAGCATGGCCACGAGATGAGGCGCAGCAGCCGCAAGACACTCAAGGTCCTCGTGCATGTCCTCAAGGACGTCCGTGCCAAGAGAACACTCACCCCCGACGGACGGAGGACAGGCAGACTCAGACTCAGCAACAAGACTGGCAGCGAAGTCTAGACGACAGGCAGCAGCAAAGTCAACAAGCTCAGCGACTAGGGCAGACGCAGCAGCAGACTCAAACGACGGGTCAGTGACAACAGTGGCTAGCAGACGCGTGACAGTAGGGTGCTCAGCACGAAACCGGTCAGACTCAGGATCCGCGACGTCAGGCAAAGAGGACGCAGGGGGAGACGGAAGAGGAGTACGCTCC